AGGACACTGTGGGAAGCCTTTGGACCCTTGCCAGTCGGCTGAAACGAGCGCTCACGCCGGATAATTGCTGTGGCAGCAGCTGGAGGGGTAACAGTTGCAGCAGTAGGTGTGGTTAATGTTATTATCATTTTTTGGGCCATCAGTAGGAGTGGTTATTGGTCTGTACTTTTACAACCGTAAAATGTCTGTAAAGAGGAAGAACGATGATGATCCAGAAGGAAATAAGTGGGCAAAGAGCTGAAGGGAATCTCGTAGCTATACTCTTAACAAAATATTGTGAAAAAAATGTGGGGAGTTGTATCTCTCCTTAGGGAAATTTGTGCAAAACAGTTTGAAGGTGTTAGCAAAATTAGCCGGGTTAAAGAATTTTTTTTTTCTTTTTATGTAAATCATACTTATATTCCAAGTTCTATGGTTCCGAAGAAAAACGAGTTAAAGATCTTAATAAAACTATTGCTAAAAAATTTGAACCATTATGTCAACACACGTTTCCCTCTCCCCTCTAACTTTTGAAGAAAATATCAATAATATTTTGAAACAATTTAAGGATTAACACATTTGTGCTAGTCTAGTTATTGCCACGATGTAGTTGTTACAAGTAAGAGAAAAGCGGTAATGACTACTTATTATTTTGTTAAGATCATTTAATTTTAGTTAGTTTTATTCTTAAAAATAAATGATAACTAATAAAATAATTGAAGAAAAAATTCATTTATATATAAATTTTATATATCACACTTATATAAAATCTTGATTATTTTTCTTTCTACTTTTTAATGGTTAAGATTTATTACAATTTTTTTAAATAAAAATAATAATTATCTTTAATCAATATAAATAAATTTTAATTATTGAAAGTTACTTAAACAATTAATATTTATTATTTAATAAATTAAAATTAATTTATAAATTAATGTTTTCGGACATAATAACCAATTATTTAAATAATAGATTAGAAACAAATAAAATATCCTTCAATTTAATTTTTTTTTAATAATCTTAATAAAATAATAAGTAATTGTAATGACACTCTTAAAAAAGAAGCAACTTTTTTTTTTACAAAGTAATTATATTACAATGACATATTTAAAATATTTAAAAAATAAGAAATTAATATTAAGAATTTAACGTAAAGTTAGAACTAACTAAGATTTCACACCACTAAATCCTTGCAACTAGCCCACCAATCACCATAGTTGGCAAAAGTGAAGCAACTTTAGTATTAGTATCAACTACTAACAACAATATTTATTAGAGGTTATTAATTGACTTTTTACAAATGACGTGATTTAATGATCTATGCATATAATACTTAACACGATGTAAGTTCCCTATCCTTTGTACCTTGTCCATTACCTTGATGGCTTAGCTAACATAGTTGTTCTTCTTGGAATAGCATACCAACTACTTAGACATGACTTAGATGGCTTGTCGACAAAAAATTTAGGAACTTTATAGATATGTAACTTTATCAGGTATTTTATAAGAGTTTTTTTATAAGATTGATTGGATTGTCAAGTCTTACCTAGTTCAACTAGTATTAGTATTAACTACTAGCAACAATATATATTAGAGATTTAGAGCTGGTTTCTAAAGAAATTATACACAAGGTAACTTTCTCAGTGGCTTGACCAGAGTGGATGAAAATGCCATTACAACGCCATCCTAGCTACAGATTGTTTTCTTCGAAAACTTGTGTCGCCAAAACTCGCCGTGACCTTTGTGGTTGGAAATATAAGTTAAAGTATTATCTCTTTCCAATTGCAAAGGTTCGGATCTTGGTAGTAGCAAAAACCCAAAATGTTAGTCCCCAAAACAAGACATGCATAAATGAGGTATTTCAAAATACCTTTTTTTTCCCATTTTCAATTGATCTTGGGCTAAAAGAATGTTTTAGGTCTGTTTATAAAAGACACACACACTCCAGAATTTAAATATACACCAAATTAGATGTTTAAAGAGCAAATCTTAAATTAAATAGAGAGAAATTATTTTATTGTTTAGGTATTTAAGGCTTTTTAATGTAGATAGTAACTCGATCTTTATTTAATTTGTTTTAAAAGAGGTATTTTTTTCAAGTGTTTACGGGTAGTCTGGGCTATTAATGTTTTAATTTCTCAGTGGCTCGTGTTAACTTCCAAACGTTGTGACAAAACAGTCTCGATCGGGAGACCGTAGTGCGGTGGGGCTTTATTTAGCTAATATTGTATAAATGCAATATATTTGAAAGTCATTAGCACCAAACTTTGTATGAACTCGGTAGTTGATAGGTTAAATTGGTTCCTCAACCACAAAGTTCGAGTCTTTGGTGTCAATTCCAGTAACCAAAAAACAAGAAATGGAAACAATAACAAAAACAAGGTACTCCGAATTACCATTTTTTCTCACATTCTATAACACCTTCTTTGCGAGGCAAAATCGCCGAGGCATTCAATGACTCTAGCGGTTGGAATTTGAGAAGGATCTCCTGTCACCCTAGTTGTTGAACGTACGAGTCTTGGTATGCCAGATTAGAAGATAATATGTGTGCAAAAAGGAATTCACTAGCGCTCTCAAACCTCAGCGGTTGGACGGTGGAAAATAGTTGTCTGTTCTTCCTATCCAACGGCAAAGGTTCGAGTCCTGGGCTGGGAAACGTATGATGATCTTGTCTGTACTGATTACAGAGGGCTAATTTCATTGTTAGCCCCTGCACTCATTACACACAAAAAATAAGAGGTATTCTAAAATACCTTATTTTTTCAATTTTTACCGTACCTGATGTTGTTGATATGGCTGTTTCTGTTTTTGCTATCCTTAAAAACTGTATGTTATGGCTAAAATAATTATTTTGAAAAGTGTTGTCCATAAAAGAAAGGAGTAAAAGAAAGGTAGAAACATTAAAAGCAAGCAAAAATAACAACTACATAAGCACAAGATCAACTTGTCCTAAAAATTAATTTCCTTGGAAGTACTGGGAAGCTTCAGTATCATGGAGTGATAGCATCTGTACAACTTGGCTCATTGTGGGTCTAGCATGCATGTCTTCTTCCACACATTGTAAGGCCACTTTAATAAGAAGTTTCATCTTATCCATGTCATAATCTTTTCCCAACATTGGATCTGCAACCTCTTCAATCCATGTCTCCATTGAAGTGGCCCCATTTATCTTCTCCCTCACCCATGGAACCAACCTTTCTTGGTCCTGCCCCAAATCTGCATATCTCCCTTCTGCATGAGCCCCTGATGAGCTCTTTCCTGTCAACATCTCCAAAACTACAATTCCATAGCTGTAAACATCAACTTTGGATGTGATAGGAAGATTGTATACCCATTCGGGAGCCATGTAACCTCTTGTACCTCTTACGCTTGAGAAACTTGAGGTGTTGGTGCCACCTCTGCTTAACAGCTTGGACAGACCAAAATCTGCCACTTTTGGTTGGAAGTTGGAGTCCAAGAGTATGTTTTGTGGCTTAATATCGCAGTGTAGAATCCATTCCAAGCATTCTTCATGCAAATAAGCCAAACCTTTTGCAGTGCCGATAGCAATTTCAAACCTTCTTGCCCAATTTAATGCTTTTTTTGATAGATTATCGGCTAAAGATCCATGCTCCAAGTACTCATAAACCAAGAGCCTGTGTTTCCCTTCGACACAATATCCCCACATCTCGATCAAGTTCATGTGATTTAGCCTTCCAATGGTACTCACTTCAGCAAGGAACTCTGCTTCCCCTTGGTCAGCTTCATGGAGGCGCTTGATTGCAGCTATGCGTTGGTCCGGTAATGCACCTCTGTATACAACTCCAGCGCCACCTCTGCCTACCTCTTCAGTGAAATTCTTGGTTGCCTTTTTTAGCTCCGAATAAGTGTATCTCCTGAATCCAGTTGCAGCTTGGATGTATCCTTCGGTTACTGCTTTGTTGCCCTCATTGCTTCTAAACAAAATACACCATACCAAGAAGATGCAAATGAATTCCACAATTCCTAGCGCAGCAGAGAACCAAAGCAGAAACTTCACGGATCCATTTTCTTTGCCCTTTCCATACATTCTGTTTAGGGTCTGATTCATCACCTCTGGACAACCTGACCTTGATTCTTCACTGCAATTATTAGAACATAAATGGGACTTGGGTAATTTCAAGTACAAATCCCCCAGAAAACTTGCTGCCCTGTATCCATTAAGCAAAAATATCTTGGGGAAACAAGAGTAGCTACCCTTGTCTTCATCGAATTTGAATTGGAATCCTTTGCAGTCGCTGGAATTCAAGCATCGTTCTTTACATCCCTGTAAAGTACTGTTCTCGAATATACCTGTGTCATAGCCGTAGATTTCAACATGAGTACGTAGGACAAATCCAAACTCACGCCTATCATAAGAATTTGTGAATTTCGTTATACAGCCTTGGGACCAATCGGCAGGATTCTTAATCTTGTATCCTGGTAAGCAAGAACATGTCCTTCCCAAAACATGATCATATTTGCACAAGCTGTTTTGTCCACAGATGCCATGAACTCTACATGGTAGAATAGGGGGTTTCCAAGTAACAATCCATCTCCTATCCTGCAAACTGTATAGCCTCAAACTGCCATCAGGATCAAGAGTTAAACGTCTCAGCGGACCTATACCCGAATCCGCCGCCCAAAACCGCAAATCATCGGATGACCTGAAATAACCTGAGGAGTTTAGTACAGCAACTCGACTGCTGTTATATGTAGACCTTTCACTTCCCTTTTGCCAAGGAACAAGCCATGGATCTGGCCAGTAGACACTGGTTATATTGGGGACTTGGTAGAGAAGGCGCAGGACGTTATCATTATCAAAATAGAGCTTATAATTACCAGAAGAATAGTTGCTTCGGCTCTTTGATGAAATAAGGTAAGTGTCTTTGGTTAATACTTGATCGGGAAGCAAGGTATCTGTGGGAGAATTAAAGCTTTGCCAGAGGAAGGCATCATCAGAACCACTTTGTAGTTGAAGAACAAGATTCCCAGTATTGAGAAGCTTTAGCTGAACAGGGGAAGCTGCAACAAAATCTTCAGTAGTCCACTCTGTTCTTCTGCTTGAGTCGGTCAAGATAAGCTTTCCGTTCCTCAATAGCTCAAGCTTTGAGCCTATTCCGTTTACCGGTTGGTCTCGGTTGGCCATCCAAACAACGGTGCGATTGGGATCGGTTGAATTGTTGAACCATACGGAGAAGCAGAATGCATTTTCGCCAACAGGGTAAAACCCGGCATTGAAGACACCATTTGCAGAAACCAAAACATCTCCTGGTTTCTCAACGTGGAGAAATCTGTCTTGTTTGAGAATATCAGAAGCCATGCATGGAGAAAGAGAGAATATTTGAAGGAAAACAAAAAGAAGTGAATAGAGCCACCCCCACATATCCATGAACACTGAGACGAAGATAATGTATTGGCTATGCTGGTTTCAGAATCGAAGGCAGTTCTCCTCTTATAAAATAATCTCCAGTGATCTAGGAAGCAAACAAGTCAAATTAAAAGAACTGGAAGTCAAGACACCGAAGACAAATTTTTGTTGTTGTTTACGTCCAGTATTAATGGCTTAACTTCCACAAATCACGGTAGACGTTGAACGGAAGTCTTTACATGAAGAAGGTTCTTGAATACAACGGACAGAAGGTGCAAATTCAGCCCTGTACTTACAATGTTGTGTTATATCAACTCCTCTACTTTAAATTATGGCAAAGCAGCCCCTCAACTTCATGAAATCCTCAGAACATTTTAGTAAAGATGACTTCATCCAATCGTTAAATCATCCATTGCCTGTTAATATGTGATGATTTGGCACTGATTGGGCAATGTCATCGACTAAATTCACGCCACCTACCTAAGTAAGAATGGCAATAGGTCCCCACCCCTATAAGGACCCCCTTCCTATTCTTGTCCCTGCTAATAGTGGGTATGGGGTGCCTTGGAGATTTTTGGTTAAGGGTAAAAAAATACCCTCCACCCCCATCCTTGCAAGAACTGGTAGGTCCTGCAAGTATACGAATTTTTTACCAAATATTAAAATGATAGAATTTAACCTCATTTTTTTTTTTCAATAAATAAATTTTATAATATTACATAAAGAATAATTCATAGGATATAAAAATAAAAACCTGCAAAAGTGAACCATCTAAAAATTTCACAAACACCATTAAAAAATACTGCATAAATAATTAAAAAGAGAATAAAAATTTAAAACAAGTAAATGCATACAATCCAATAAATTCATAAAAAATAACATAAAGAGAGTACAAATTTGAAACAAATTGAGTTTTATGTTTTTTTAAATATATTATAATTGATTAAAATATAAATTATATTTTTTATTATATACGGATCTTGCAAATACCCATGGGGTGGAATGAATTCCCACAAAGAAAAAGTTGCCTTCATTCT